TATATATATATATATATATATATATATATATATATATATATATATATATATATATAATTCATTATACATTTTACCTATCTGAATAAATTTAGTTGTTGAATTTTATAATATCAAATAATATTTATTCATCTAATATTGTTCAACAAAGAAGTCATTTGAAAATAAGCACTACTCGTATGGAATATACATGCGAAGCATGCGTCCAGAAACTAAAATGTAAGAAATGACTCAAAAATACGTTCCTTCTGCCTTTGACGTTATCTTTGTTAGGATCAGAAATAAGCAGGTGTAAATGCGGAAGCTAGCAATGCAAACCTCGAAAGACCACGAGAAAGAAGACAACGAGAAATATACCAAAAGACACAAAGATTTAACGTGGTTCGGTCAATCGACCTACGTCCACAAAGGAGATGAACAATCCACTATAAATATGAGAGTACAAAATACAGAGAGAAACAACCTCAACCAATTCACTCGGAATACATGGGAGGTTCACACAAGTGATAACGTATCAATCTTGTGACCCATAAATTCTCCCCCAACCAAAACTCTCAAAGCCCTTATGACTAAATTGTGAATGTTGATTAAGTTAAAAGGAACATTACTCCATTTATAGAGTCCTAAACCTTTTTCTACCAGAAAAATGATTAGTCAATCCAAAATCTTTTCCTGAAAGAAAAATCTATTTATGGTAAAAAATTTAGGGCAAATAAAACCTAACAATCTTCACATTTGAAATTGCCCCTCAACTAAAATGTTGAGGCTTTGAGATTCATCTTAAATTCCACCCAATTACCAGTTCTGGAAATGAAATTATTTATTGTCATTGAATAAGGTGGGCAACAATACCAACTAACCCCAAACAAACTTAAAGCTCTAAAGTTGGCCTCAAGCTAAAAATAATATTTGCTGTCATCTTTCAATTATTTCATCTATATAAAGCAGCATTCATCCCTTAATCTACAATTTTTTGTGTGCTTGGAAAAATCTTCATTAAGACATTGAAGGGTAAAGAGTGATTTGTGGTTTTGAATTTTGGATACTCGCTTGCTTCATGGACAAAACTTTAAACTGACGAAGGTTTGTCAACGATTTTGGTAAATAATCAAAGAGCTTCTATTGTTAGTGGGTGACTATTACCCATATATATCGCGTGCGTATCGATCGGTTTGGAAGGTTATCGGTTTGTAGGGATGTTAAACCGTTATAGAATCATTAATTAAGATATTGACTTATCAGTTTAGTTATCGGTTTAAAACCGTCAAAATTTTTGACATAAAAAAATTGAAAATCACTTAGAAATAAGGTGACAAATAATATGAATTAATGAATCGCATGCACATGAGTTCATAAGTTACATCTTGCTCAAAATCATACACTTTTATATGTATAATAAAAAGAGTTTGAGACAAGTTGAATTGAAAGTAGGAAACCAAACTCTAAGTCAAAGACTTTATATACAAAATAATACATATATAACTATTTAATTTACTATCGGATTATTGGTATTAATCCGTTAAGAAAAAACCTCAATCCGCTAAGAACCGATAACCCAATAAGAAAAAAGAATCAAAACTGTTATCGAAACTGCTTAACCAATAAATCATTATTGATAATTCAATAACTTCTTTTTTGGTTCGCTTATCGATTTCAATGTGATTATGAACAACCCTATATGCTGTCCGCATGGCCCATAACCATTTTAGCAAAAGTTGGGTCAGTGTGTGTTTCATATCTAATTTGCATAGCATTGTGCATCTATATGGCAACTACTCCCTGAGACAGGCAGGGGTCAAAAGTTCAAATACCAACCACTTTGAAGATCATTGGATTGTAATTTCCGAATGGTCTATATAAAGGGAGATTAAAACCTTGAATAGCCCATCCCAATATTCACAATATGAGCCAGGCACAGGAGTCCTTGTTGTCCAAGCCACATGCAGTATGCATTGCATTTCCAGCACAAGGCCATATAAACCCTATGCTCAAATTGGCCAAACTCCTCCATGTCCGAGGCTTTCATATAACCTTCGTTAACACAGAGTTCAATCACCGGAGATTACTCAAATCCCGGGGTCCCAATGCCCTTGATGGCCTATCTTCCTTTCGTTTCGAGTCCATCCCTGATGGACTCCCTCCTCCCTCTAACGAGGATGCCACACAAGACATATCGTCTTTGTGTGAGGCATGTAAGAAGTCATGTTTGGTTCCTTTCAGAGACCTCATCACGAGACTAAACGCTAGTTCTAATTTCCCTTCTATTACTTGCATAGTTTCTGATGCTGGTATGAGCTTCACTCATCAAGTTTCTAAGGAGTTAAGTATTCCCAATGTTGGATTTTGGACATCTAGTGCTGGTGCTTTGTTGGCTTACCTCCAATATCCTAAACTTGTGCTACAAGGTTATAGTCCACTAAAAGGTACCAAATGAAATTTGAACCCTTACCACCATATATTTTTAATTTGTTTTACAATTTCTTTTTAACTGGTTGAAATTGCAGATGAATGTCATTTAGACACGATTATAGATTGGATACCTAGCATGGAAGGCATCCTTCTAAAAAACTTGCCAACCTTCATTAGAGCCAAAGTCAATGAACCAAACAATATTATACTCGAATTTATAGTAGAAGAAATCGTGGACAAAATTCACAATTTCTCTGCACTCATTTTGAACAGTTTCGACACGTTAGAGAGTGATGTTATGAAACAAATTGCAACCAAGCTCTCTGCAGTTAGTTATACTATTGGACCCTTTCACTCGTTGTTGAATAATAATCTAACTCAAGACAATGATTTGAATTCAATTGGTTCTAATCTGTGGATAGATGATACTCACTGTCTCGAATGGCTGGACGCAAAGCAGCTAAATTCTGTTGTTTATGTGAATTTCGGAAGTATTACAGTGCTGAGCAATGACCAGTTAGTTGAATTTGCTTGGGGACTTGCAAATACTAAAATGAATTTCTTGTGGATCGTTAGATCTGATTTAGTCATGGGTGATTCAGCCATTTTTCCACATGAATTTCTCGTGGAGACTAAGGAAAGAGGTTTATTAGTTGGTTGGTGTCCTCAAGAACAAGTTTTAAATCATCCGTCAATCGGAGGATTTTTAACTCATTGTGGATGGAATTCGACTTTCGAGAGTATATCATATGGTGTGCCAATGCTGTGTTGGCCTTTCTTTGCAGATCAACAAACAAATAGTTGGTTTAATTGTAATCGTTGGGGTGTCGGGATGGAAATTGATAGCAATGTGAAGAGGGAAGTGATCGAGGAACTTGTGAGAGAGTTGATGGTTGGAGAAAAGGGTAAAGAGATGAAAGAAAATGCATTGAAGTGGAAGAAGTTAGCAGAAGAGGCAATCACTTCTCCAAATGGATCATCTTATATGAATTTCGACAAGTTGGTTAGGGAAGTGCTATCGCCAAAAGGTTCTTCACTTCTTCCAGTAGATTGACATGTTGAAATAATGTTGTACCTTTTTCTTCTATGGTTTTTTGTGTTCTAAATAAACTTGATCTGGAGTCTCTAGATTAAAGAAAAAACAACTTGCAGCAGATAGTACTTGGTAAAACATTTGTTGTATCGTTTGTACTTTCAAATTTCTTATTTCAGCTTCCATAAGCCGTCCCTCTGCAGCACACTTTACACATTTCTAGTCATAGTGGTACAAACATTAGTCCTGTCTCTGGTATAGCACGGTTGTATAATAGTAACTCGAAAAATAAAAGATTAATCTGTTACAATCGATAAAATTACAGTGTAAGATTTTTATAGTATCAACAATATACTGATAGAAGGAAACATACATTATCATATATCTCAACCAAGCTAAACTCAACAACCAATTAATAGTGTTACAATAATATAATATACTGAAGAAATAAAAAAAAAAACTAACAGAATGTTACTTAACGAGCGAATGTTTAGGAGCGAGGAGAATTTCATTGATCAATTTGTCTATATTCACATAAGATGATCCTGCTGGTTTTGCAGCAGCTTCTTCAGCCAATTTCTTCCATTCCGTTGCCTTATTCTTCATTTCTTTGCCTTTCTCCCCGGTCATCAGCTCTCTTACAAGGGCTTCAACTTCATCCCTCTTCACATTATTGTTTATCTCCATTCCAATCCCCAACTTGGTGCAACAAAACCAACAGTTAGTTGGCTGCTCTGCGAAAAACGGCCAGCAAATCATTGGCACCCCATTGCTAATACTTTCAAGGGTCGAATTCCATCCACTGTGAGTCAAGAACCCTCCAATTGCGGGGTGGTTGAGGACTTTTTCTTGTTGGCACCAGCTTGCTAGCATCCCTCTTTCTTTAGTTTCTTCCAAGAATTCGGGCGGAAGAATTGCTTCTTCTCCTAATACAACATCAGGCCTTATAATCCACAAAAAATCCAGCTGGCTATTGGCAAGTCCCCACGCGAATTCAATAAGATGGTTCATAGTCATAACAGTAATACTTCCAAAATTGACATAAACAACAGAATTTGGTTTCTTGGAATCCAACCATTCAAGACACTTTGGTTCTTCTTTCCAAAGATTGGATCCCAAATCCGCCAAATCCTTGTCATCAACATGTTTCACAAGCAAATTTAACGGCCCAATTACATACACCGGAGGAACAAGTGTTTGAAGTGACTCAAGAACTTCCTTCTCTAATGCCTCAAATGAATTGACAACAATAGCAGAAGCATATTTTTTCGATCTCTCCGTTTTACATATGATAAAGTTAAGCATAAAATCATCTGGATTTGCAGTCTTAAGAAAACTTGGAAGATCCCTTAAACGTACGTCTTTCATACCCGGTATCCAATCCAAAGTCGTCTTCTCTAAGTAACCATTTGTCAAGTAACTTTCATCTGAGGATAAAATAAAATTAAGTTAACAAGACAGATACATCAAGAAGATAAAATTGAAGCAGAGCATTTAAAAACAGGGGATATACCTTTAAGTGGAATGTATCCTTTATCAACAAGGTTACAATAATGCATGTAACTCAAAGTCCCACAAGCAGCAAAAGTCCAAAAATGAACTTGAGGGATACCCAATTCTTGGGCAGCAGTTAGAGTGTAGCTGTTTGAACCATCGGAGACGATGCACGAGACAGGTGGCACCTTAGATGAACAAGTATTATTGAGCTTGGCAAGTAACTCTCTGAAAGGACCTAAACAAGTAGTATCTGTTGATTTACATAAAGCAATAATATCTTGTGTTGCATCAGCATCACATGGTGGAAGGCCATCAGGAATTGCCTCAAAACGGAACGATGGCAAGTTCTTGAAACCGTGAGGGCCTCGAGACTTAAGGAGACGCCTATGATTGTATTCAGTGTTGACAAAAGTGATGTGAAAGCCTTTGTGATTAAGGATTTTGGCTAATTTTAACATAGGGTTAATGTGGCCTTGTGCAGGGTATGGTACGCAAACTGCATGAGGCTTATCAAGTTCAGCACCAGTGGAAGCCATTTTTTCCCTTATCTTTTGCTTCTCTCAGAGTGATGGAAAACAAAGGCTATATATGGAAAGATGAAGAGTCAAGAAATATATTTATTTTTACTGTTAGATGGTTAAGCAAAAATACGAAACTAGAAATTTCGTTATAGATATTCAAGATTCAATATTATATGTTTGGAGAATTATTTTGACATATATACATAACAGTATAATTTTTCAACCAAGACTGTTCCGACTAGTCACTCTATACTCTATGTGACTACGCCACTATATACATATAATCTAACAAAATACTAAGAAAATGAGATGGGGTGGGTAAGTGAGTGAGTGGTCAAGGGTTGAGGGTTGGGATTATTGGTAAGTAGAGAGCAGAGATCATAAAACTTTTACTTATGAAATTTGTTTTCTGAAAAAATAATTAGCACTGTGGGCACAAAATCATTTATTTTATTGTTCCTCCAAGTTAAGTTTGTGTTCCTCATCAGTTTGAACATCTCAGTCATGGGTTCAGACAAATTTTTCATTTATAAAAAAAATGTGAAGTGAAAATTCAAGCATTAAAGTCATTGAGTTGCCTTCAGTATTATCCCTTCCAACAATACTAGGCTGTCTAGGAAGCTTTATGCTTTCACACAACCTGTTACTAAATATTGAGTGATCGTTCAAGTATTTAAACTCTAAAATGGTATCGTGATATGGAATTATGGTATGTTCAAGTATTTAAATAAAAGTACATTTTCTCATAATATTATTTATTATGATAAATATAATACTATTTTATATTTAAAAATAATTAAATTTTAAACATCTTATTTTATATCATTCATATCATGTTCAAACACACAATTTTCATTTTTTTAAAAAAATGATAATCAAATATCGTCGTATAAATTAAAATAAAAAGAATAACATGTGTTTGACTACTCTTGCTTAAAGCCAACAAGCTACAATAGCCTGTTACGTCCCAATATTCACATTTTCCTTATCTCAAAGTGATGGGAAACGAAAGATATATATTGACTATTATTTTGGAAAGAAGAAGAGTATGCACAAACTTATAGATAATTATTTATAGAATGTCGTGTAAAATATAAATTTATATAGTGGGTCATCTGTTATGTAATTAGAGGTATATTTCTTGATGAACATCATATGATAAATTAGTACTTCGATTGTTCGGTATTATTTGTTATAACTTCTATTTTTAGATTCAAACTATAAAAACTTTGACAAATATTTTAAGATGTATTTTTTCATCATATTAATATGCAAAAAAACTATAATTTATAGTACTTTTCATATTGTTTTAGAATATCTAATTTTTTTGTTTAAAATATCGAATTAATGTGATTTAATTTAACTTTAAAAAATAGTCAAACTGACTTCAAAAAGAGCAAGATGACAAAAAATAACGGACGGAGGGTGTAATAACTAAAAACCTATTTATAATTACTTCATTTGTTAATTATAATTTGATTTGACCTAAAAACAATAAAAAAATAAAATTGATTCTTAAATTTTTATAGAAATGTCTTTTAAACTTCTATTCATAGCCATATCATATGACAAATTTAAATTAAAGAATTGTTAAATTTATTAAAACTTACACATATAAATTGAAACGGAGGGAGTGGATTATTAAAGGTCACCCACAAAAATTAAAGGAAACATCTCACACAGCCACACATTTTCTTTTCAAAAAGGAAAGGAATAAGATACAAGTATGGTTTTAGACTATGGTCCTATTACACTCCTCTCGCGAATCTATTTTGCTTTTAAATTTTATACACCTTATGTAAATATGCATCTTGGACCTAACTTAACCTTGATAACTAGCTTATGAAGGAAGTTTTGTCCAAGTTTATACAAGTCGAGCAATTTCCCATCTTTGTACCAATGTGGGATTTGTTAACACTTTCCCACACGCTCAGTCCTTAATTTGAGCGTGAACACTTCTAAATGGGAGTGTAACATTTGTGAACAATAATTTGGATTTGATTTCACTCTGATAGCATGTAAAGATGGATCTTAGATGTAACTCAATCTTGACTTATGTGGCATCTCCCATGCGTCTCAACTATGTGGAGTTATGAAGTGTTCCAAGTAACTTAAAAGATGAACAAAATCATAAAAATCAAATGAATTCAAAGATAATAAGAACTTAATTTATTTAAAATCTGTCTCTGAGATTTCAATCTTAATTTACAAGTTTTGTTGAATGCCTTGAATTGGGCCCTTAATTATCTGTCAATTCTATATTTTGGGCCCAAGCCTGTTAGAGCGTAGCTTAGCACTATATATAGACGCTATGGCAAACCCTATTCTGTAATTCTGTTTTTGCCTCTCCATAAATAAAACTGCTCCCTCTCTTCCCCGTGGACGTAGCCAATTTATTGGTGAACCACGTAAATCTGTTGTCTTGTTTTTCGCGTTTATATTTTCTCGTATTATCTCGAATTCCGCAACAACAAATTGGTATCAGAGCCTCTCGGTTAATCGGTGTTCTTGGAGAATTCGAGATGTCTGCTTTGAACGTGAAAATCGACAAATTCACAGGGAGGAACAGTTTCAGTTTATGGCAGATTAAGATGCGGGCTTTGTTGAAACAGCAAAGCTTCTGGGCGCCATTGTCGAAAGACAAGGACGCCGTCGTTACTCTTGAGATGGCGATTCTGGAGGAAAAGGCGCACTCGACGATCATGCTGTGTCTCGCGGATGACGTCATCATGGAGGTCTCGGATGAAGAGACTGCTGCTGGTCTGTGGTTGAAGCTGGAGAGTTTGTACATGACAAAATCTCTAACCAGTAAGCTACTTCTGAAACAACGTCTATTCGGTTTACGAATGGCTGAAGGTACACAACTCAGGGAACATTTAGAGCAATTGAATACTTTGTTATTAGAATTGCGTAATATCGATGTGAAGATCGAGGATGAAGATGCTGCCCTGATTCTGTTAGTATCTCTCCCAATGTCGTTTGAGAATTTTGTTCAATCGTTCATTGTTGGGAAAGATACTGTGTCGCTGGAAGAAGTCAGATCGGTCCTTCATAGCAGGGAATTACGGCATAAGGCTAACGGCACAAGTACGGACATACAACCTTCCGGTCTGTTCACCAGTAGCGGAAAGGGAAGGAAAAACGGCGGAAAGAAAAATAAGCCGATGTCAAAGGGTGCAAAGCCGGATGATGTTTGTAATTACTGCAAGGAGAAGGGACATTGGAAATTTGATTGTCCGAAGAAGAAGAAGCAATCGGAAAAACAATCAGTTTCTGCTGCTGTTGCTGAAGAAGACACCAATTCTGAAGAAGACATTTCCCTAGTTGCGGATGAGCACACTCATCATTCAGATGTGTGGGTTCTCGATTCTGGGGCATCCTATCACATCTGTCCTAGGAGAGAGTGGTTCACGACTTATGAGCAGGTAAACGGAGGCAGCATCTCGATGGCCAACAGTTCTGTCTGCAAGGTGGTTGGGACAGGCTCGATCAAGATAAGGACACATGACGGTAGCTTCTGCACATTGAACGAGGTCAGGCACGTTCCATTGATGACGAAAAATCTGATATCTCTCAGTCTTTTGGACAGCAAGGGATTTAGCTGGTCGGAAAAAGATGGAGTCTTGCGGGTCTGGAAGGGTTCAAATCTGATTCTGAAAGGTGTCATGCATGGTACTTTGTATTTTCTACAAGGTTCCACGGTTACAGGTTCAGCCTCATGTTGCATCGTCAGAAGTTCACCAGAAGGATATGACTAAGTTATGGCACATGAGACTTGGTCATATGGGTGAAAGAGGGATGCAAATTCTGTCAAAGGAGGATCTTCTTGCTGGTCATAAGGTTAAGAGCCTAGAGTTTTGTGAACATTGTGTCTTTGGAAAACTACATCGCAACAAGTTTTCAGAGGCCATTCACAGAACAAAAGGCACACTTGATTATATCCATTCTGATTGCTGGGGTCCATGTCGTGTTGAGTCTTTGGTAGGCTGCAGATTTTTTGTGTCCATTATTGATGACTACTCAAGGATGACTTGGGTGTACATGATGAAGCATAAAAGTGAAGCTTTTCAGAAGTTCAAGGAGTGGAAAATTTTGATGGAAAATCAAACAGGGAAGAAGATCAAGAGGTTGCGAACTGATAATGGGCTGGAATTCTGCTGGTCTGAATTTGATCAATTCTGTAAGGGTGAAGGGATTGCTCAACATCAGAAGCTGTTAATTGCCTTGCAGGGCAATTCTGAGGAAGAGGGGGAGGCCTGGCACTATCATAGTGCGTCTGAAGAATCTGTTTGGAGAATTCAAGTCAAGGTGGAGATTTGTTGAATGCCTTGAATTGGGCCCTTAATTATCTGTCAATTCTGTATTTTGGGCCCAAGCCTGTTAGGGCGTAGCTTAGCACTATATATAGACGCTATGGCAAACCCTATTCTGTAATTCTGTTTTTGCCTCTCCATAATAAAACTGCTCCCTCTCTTCCCCGTGGACGTAGCCAATTTATTGGTGAACCACGTAAATCTGTTGTCTTGTTTTTCGCGTTTATATTTTCTCGTATTATCCTCGAATTCCGCACAACAAGTTTCCTTTATGGTTTTATACCTTTGGAAAATTAATTACTAGTTAGTACAATATTTCTGTTGCCTGTTATTTGATGATTTGGATTTCTGACTGTTCACATGGGCATTATTATCTCCTGCTTATGTTGATAGTTCAGCAAAATTTTGGAGAGTTTGAAAGTCACAAAAGTTTTTGACTATTATTTTGGGCATTATCACAAACTAATAGTATATGGGGGCTATAAAAGGGATTAGGCTCCCTTCATTTGTGATAATGCCCAAACTAATATAACTATTCTTGTTTTAAATTATTTTTAATGAAATATAGTATTTCAAATATGTTAAATTTGTTTTAATAATTCCTTCATTTTTCATGCAGTGTTGACTTTTTATACAAATAGTATTTAATATTTTTTAAAAAAAAGATACTAATTTATAACCTATTATTATTAAAAATGAGGCTCTTTAAATTTGGAGGCCGAAGGTAGATATCTTGTTTTTAACACTGTCGAGCCACCGGTGAAGGATACAATATACTCTTTTAGGCAATCGGTAATATATTCTTTGTCATGTCACCTTTTAGAGGTGTTAAATTCACTTCAAACAAAAATAAAGGGTATAGAGTTAGTCGTAAAATTAGGAGTATGTAATCGAGTTCTCGGGACAAGATTAAGGGGAAACTTATGTATTTTCCCATCATTATTAGATCAAATCATAGTAACACCATCCTGCAAAACTTAATAGTTTAGAAAAAATTGGAGTATTTGAAAATCACATATATAGTTTTCTGTAGTTAATGTGACTTAAACCATTTGTTATAGTATTAGTTTGCCAGCCAAATGAAGTCAAGCAGCTGACTCTATTTCCATAACTTATAGTGAGCATTTTTATTCCATAAATAAAACCAACCATTGATTAGTACTCTACTACTTTTGCCTAGTGGTTTTGGAGGAGAGTAGAATTTCGTTGATCAATTTGTCTATGTTCACATAAGATGATCCTGTTGTTTTTGCAGCTGCTTCTTCAGCCGATTTCTTCCATTCCATTGCCTTTTTCTTCATATCTTTACCTTTCTCGCCCACCATTAACTCTCTCACAAGACTTTCAACTTCAGCCCTTTTCACATTATTGTCAATTTCCATTCCAATACCCCATTTGGTGCATTTGAACCAACAATTAGTCTGTTGTTCCGCGAAAAACGGCCAGCAGATCATTGGCACACCATTGCCAATACTTTCAAGGGTCGAATTCCATCCACTGTGAGTCAAGAACCCTCCAATAGCGGGGTGGCTTAGGATTTGTTCTTGCGGGCACCAACTTGTCAACATCCCTCTTTCTTTGGTTTCTTCCACAAATTCGGGTGGAAGAATTGCTTCTTCCCCTGATACAATATCAGGTCTTATAATCCATAAAAATTCCATCTGACTATTGACAAGTCCCCACGCGAATTCAGTAAGTTGGTTCGCGGTCATGACAGTAATGCTCCCAAAATTAACATAAACAACAGAATTTGCTTTTTTGGAATCAAGCCAGTCTAGACACTTGGTTTCTTCTTTCCATAGATTCGATCCCAAGCCCTCCAAGTTCTTGTCAACGACAAAGTGTTCCATAAGAAGATTCAAGGGACCAACGGCGTAGATTGGAGGAAGAAGTTTTTGAAGTGATTCAACAACTTCTCTCTCCAATGTTTCAAATGTATTAATAATGATAGCAGTAGCATTTTTTGATCTCTCTGTTTCTTGGATGATGAATTCGATCATGTATTCTTCGGGATTTGTAGTTCTTAAGAAACTTGGAAGATCCCTCAAACGTATTCCTTTCATGCCTGGTATCCAATCCAAACTCGTCTCCAAATATCCATTTGTCAAGTAACTTTCATCTGCAATTCCCAAAGACAACATAAACCAAATTTAAAGCGACACTAGATACTTTAAACAGTAAATTTTATGGCATTTTGATTCATCAAGTATTTTCGATCAGACTATTTATTAACTGAGGTTATTTTTATTCAATTTCGCATAGCTCAAGAGCATTTTCCTACTCTTTTTTTCATGGATGATACAGGGGATCGGACATGTATGTATACCTTTAAGTGGAGTGTATCCTTTCTCAACAAGATCGCGGTAATACATGTAACATAATAAACCACAAGCACTTGGAGTCCAAAAGAGAACTTGAGGAATGCCCAAATCTTGAGCAGCAGAGAGAGTGAAGCTCATTGAACCATCAGAAACGATGCACGATACACGTGGTACGTTAGTATTTTTGAGCTTTGCAAGTAACTCTTTGAAAGGACCTAAACATGTAGTGGTTGTAGATTTACAAAGAGAAGAAATGTCTTGAGTGGCATCAGGGTCACATGGTGGGAGGCCATCAGGAATGGCCTCGAAGCGAAAAGATGGCAAACCATTGAGGCTATCGGGGCCTCGAGACTTAAGGAGACGCTTATGGTTGTGTTCAGTGTTGACAAAGGTGATATGAAAGCCTTTGCGATTGAGAATTTTGGCTAATTTTAGCATTGGGCTAATGTGGCCTTGAGCAGGGTATGGTAAGCAAACTGCATGAGGTTTGTCCGAAATTTCAGCATTAATGGAACACATTTTTTTTTTTTTGGTTTTCTTATTTAAGTGAAATATTATTGCAAGAGGAAGACAGTGGATACATTTTATAGACCACCTAGTTAAAACGAGTCAAGACCTTATGTCATCGTTGGGTGTAATTAATTCCGTGATGAAATTCGTTATCCCCAGTTATAAGGTGAGATAATATTTCTGCAATAAATAATTTCAAAATTTTCGATTCGATTTTGTATATCTTTAATGCAAACTTCAGGGGCCACCAATGGATTAGCCCTGAGATAAATATTGAAGCATGAGATGTTAAATTTAGTACTATGTCATTACGGCCTTACTATCGGTTTTGTCCAAATCTGCATGTTGCAACATCATACATCATAATGACATATTACTAACGGATAAAAGGACGACTCCTACTGAAGTTTCATAATGAGGTATAAAGCTTTTCAAATTTTTGATCGAGACAAGTTATTATATAAATTAATTCACTAAAATAATATATATTTTTTGAAATTTTATAAAATTAAAATAAACATATTTGGCAGTTAGATTTAGGTATTATTTTATTTAAAGAATCGATGACAGAAATATAAATATTTAAAGGAATAAACAGACATTAAACTTCACTATCTAATACGTTTTATTAATTCGTTATTCAGCCAATTCCAACAAACATCACATGATGGAGAAGAAGAAAAATTGGGTTTGAGTGACCGTGTGGAATTACTTTAATTTAATGCATTATAATGTCACATTATGCACGTGTGTAGTATACACATTTTCATTTTTGACTGATTATCAGAAAAATACTAAACAAAAACATATTTATTAAGATTGAAGTATCTAATAGCAAAAAAAAAAAGAAATTATTAAAATGTTAAAGTAAAATATACGAACAAATATAGGAGTTATTTGTGAGCCTAACAGATATATTATTGACAGTTCATGACGGACTCACGTAGCAATCCATTAACATGGCTGATGGCACGGCCAACCATTACGGTTAACACTACGTCTAGTTTAGTTTGACGAATTAGCAAAAAAAAAAATTAAAAAAATAATAATTAAAAACTAGATTATCATTTGGATTCGTCCTTATTTTAAAATTATGTAAATATGACCTTTGAGAGTTAAAAGACGGGCAAAACATGTGTTTGTTAATTAAAACATCATTGAAAAGTTATTGTTATTATTAAGAATATAACTATTATGTGTTCAATATACTATATGTTTGTCAATTATTACTAGACCTACATTGATTTATCAAAACTTCATCTATGATTTATAACTCTAACAATATAAGATTGAAATAGCATTTATGTGACCAAAAATTTGAAAACATTCAGTATATCCAAAACTGACCATATCGACACAGTTGGTTTGATTTGATTTTGATTTAGAAAAATAAAGTGAACCAAATCAATTTATGTACACCCATGTGTGTATATATATATATATATATATATATATATATATATATATATATATATATATATATATATATATATATAT